GCACCATGTAACATTGAAGAGACCAGTTTGGGTTCATTATGTACTTGATTGGCCTGTTTGTTGTTAAGAAGAAGAATAGACTTGGAAGGGACCCTGGAGGTCTTCTAGTCCAACCTCGTGCTCAAGGAGGAGACCCTATACCCAGTGGTGGGATTCAGCCAGTTTGCACCACTTCGGGAGAACCAGTTGTTAACTTTCTGAGCAGTTTGGTGAACTGGTTGTTGGAAGAAATCATTAGGGCAGAGCACTGGTTTTTAAATTACTTGAATTCCACCACTGATTCTGACGCTTATCGTTAGATTAGTTAACTAATTTATTGAGACAAGGTCAAAGGGATTATTTGGGAAATGAAAGCTTTTTCATTTTTAACATAATGAGCTAAGTTACAGTAATCTGCACTGATTGAATGAAGCTTTAAAATGTCACCCGGCTTAGAAAAATGATTGCTTTAGTGGCAAATGTAAAAACAGTTGAAAAACACACTATCATTCTTTGGAGATGAAAATTTTAATTCCTGTATCAAATTCAAATAACTGAACAATTTGTTAATATCACGATAGAAAGTATATTGTTAAAAGGAATTTAAACTGAGGGTTTACCATATAGACATGTACCAAAATGTAAAGTAATAGATCCACTATATTTTTAATTCCAAATTTTATTAGTTATTGTTATTGCTTCCTAGATTACAGGAAAAAGCTGCTGATACAATTGATGCTCTGCAGAAGGCTGGCATTAAAGTATGGGTTCTGACAGGAGACAAAATGGAGACTGCTGCAGCAGCCTGCTATGCCTGCAAGCTATTCAGAAGAAATACTCAAATACTTGAATTGACTACAAAGAAAATAGAGGAGCAGAATTTGCATGATGTATTATTTGAATTGAGCAAAACTGTTCTAAAGCACAGTGGCAGCTTAACAAGAGATATCTACTCAGGGTAAGTTGAAAATATTGATGGTGCAGTGGTTAGAGCAGTGGTAGGATTCAAATAATTTAACAACCGGTTCTCTGCCCTAATGACTGGCTGGGTGGATGTGGCCGTGGTGGGCATTGTCAGGGGTTGTGACAGGCAGCACTCAGCCTCCTGCACAAAAATGGGCCAGTGGGGATGTGCCGCACCCCCCTGCATCCCGGTTTGGGCCTAGTGGGTCTCCCTGCAGCCTCCTGGGAGCAAAAATGGGGGGCATGGGGACTCCTGGGGCCAGCTGGTTTGCCCGAACTGGCCTGAACCATTGAATCCCACCACTGGGTTAGAGTGCAGTATTGCAGGCAAACTCTGCCCATATCCTGGAGTTCAATCCTGATGGCCTTCCAAGGTTGACTCAAACTTTTCTGAGGTCAATAAAATGAGAACCCAGATTGTTGGGGGCAATATGCTGACATTGTAAACCATTCAAAGAGTCCTGTAAAGCACTAAAGGATGATATCTAAGTCCAACTGCTATTGCTATTGCTAAAATACATGCTCAAAGTTGAAGTTTTGGGGAATAAGATGAACAGATTTTAAAAGCTCTCCTGGTATTCAGAGTAAAAACAGGTGCAGTCTTTAGCAGAAAATAATAAGGTACTGGTAGTTCTTTATCAGTATTTTATGGAGTACTTTTGGGCAATGTTCCCTCTAAGCTGTGTGGCTGCCATGCACATGAGAAGAAAACGCCACGCAGCAGTTTCCAACTGCCGCACAGTGATTTTTGATGCACCGAGTCTCGTGGCAACTCCCAGCCCATTGCCTCTTGCACGGGTTCTCCCTTTTGCATGTCTACTTCTCCCTCTCACAATCCCAGTCCTCTTCTCCCTAAAGGTCAGAGGCTCCCGGGCTCTTCGCGGGGAGCCCTGTCTCTTTTCTTTTGCGGGAGGGCTTATTTGAAGCGTGGGAATGCAGACGGCATATGAAAGGGCGAAGAGGGAGTTCTGCAACCTTGGATGCTGCGGCTGCTGCCTGTTAATTCCCCACTGCCTCTCACCCTCCTTTCCCCATAGTGCGGTCACTTGTCAGTGGATTTTCTCCCCCCTCCCCCATTGAGGAATGCGTGAACCCGTCAGGGCGTGTGACTTTCGTACCTGTCACCAAAGCAAGATCCTAAACTTGCTTTTCAAGAAATAAAAAGTGCTTGGGCACCATCCATTCAGCGGGAGTCCTCCAGATGCATGGGAGCTGCCCTTCACATAGCAGCCATCTGCCGCAGTGAGGAAGAATCAGCCATGTACAGTATTCCCGCTTTGGAGACTAGGTAGGGCTAGCAGAATATGTGTCTATGAAGTTTAAACTTAAAAAGAAAACAATAAAGGAGGGCGTTTGAAAAAAAGTGGGTTGATTTCCTTGAAATAATAGGGTTGTCTGGAGGTTTGGGAACTGGTGAGGTGAGGTGGAAAGAAAGGATGCCACTGCAAAGAATTAGAATCTGTGGTGTGCCCGCATGAGACATCTCAAGAATGTATAAGCAGGGAAAGATGTGCAGAAGAAAAGTGTGTGTTTTTCTTTGCAAAGCCAACTTCCTCTGTAACAATCCTTGGTGCATTTCTTTTAAAGTCACATGGTAGCCGAGCATTATTACATTATAATATATAGAACTGTGAAGTTGGTACCAAGACAAATAATAATGTGAACTGAGGTTAGGGAAGGAAACTAATAGAAAGGGCTTATTTTGAAATGTTCACATTAAAAGAGAAAAAAGAATTCATATATTGCCAATATACTGATACAACTGATTGCAATTGCACAGTGAGTACAACAAAATAGTGACAAAAACGCAGAGCTAGATAGCTCTTATTTTGGTTTAGTTATTTTCTACCAAAAAAGTATGTCTTCATCAGAAAGTCTGAAGAGCTGAATGAAAAGGCAGATTTGATGCTTTGGAAAAGATAACAACATGGCTTGGGAATGGCATTTTGCTCTGAATGAATTGAATCTGCAATACAAGGTATTAGCTGCTGATATGAATAAAATCAGACAAATTCCAGGTTTGATTGCTTATTTGATTTGTAAGGTACCTGGAGAGGTAAATAAATTGTACTTATGAAAAAGATGTTTCATTAAGAGTTGATTGTGAACTGAATATGAACCAGCAGAATGATAGGGCTATAAAAAAAGCAAACTTAATTTTTGCACTATGTTCTGCTTTGATTAAATATCTATTTCAAATATTGCTTCTTATAAGATGGATTCAGAGCAGGCAACCCCGCGCGAGCAGTTTGAAGGTGGAGTAGAGGAGTGGGGGAGGGGAGGAATGAAACAGATCCAGCAGTTAAGAATCCTCGTGAAAAAAAATTCAAGTGCTCACTGCTCAGGCATGAAAATGCGGCACTCAAACACTATACTTTTCTGTGCACACTGAAAAAAATAGAGGGAACA